TAACCATGAGTAGCATCCTATACCCGAATAGAACTGCAACATGACAGCTGATCTTTTCAGCAAGCAGAGGAAATTCTTCTACCTTTGATGTACTGTATGAATCCTTTACAGATACATGCACATAGGCAGTAAAAGCAAAGCAGAAATTTTTTTACAACATGCAGTTTTATGATGAAATATATACTATCTCTTTCCCAAAGTCTGTGAGAAATAAAGCTTGTCAATGAAATTAAACAGTAACAGATCTGAAATTGGTAAAGGAAATTTGTACTGTATATGGTGTATAATCAACCTCTAGAACTCTCAGTAGGTAAAGAAATGGGATTAAAACCCCAAGATATAAGGCTCCGGGGTGATCTTATAGCAGCTTTCCAGTACCTAAAGGGAGCCTACAGGAAAGCTGGAGAGGGACTTTTTACAAGGGTGTGTAGTGATAGGACAAGGGGCAATGGATTTAAACTGAAAGAGGGCAGATTTAGGTTAGAAAGAAATTCTTTACCTTGAGGGTGGTGAGGTACTGGAACAGGTTGCCCAGAGAAGTTGTGGGTGCCCCATCCCTGGAAGTGTTCAAGGCCAGGTTGGATGAGGCTTTGGGCAACCTGGTGTAGTGGAGGGTTTCCCTGCCCATGGCAGGGGGGTTGGAACTAGATGATCTTTGAGGTCCCTTCCAAGCCTAACCATTCTATGATTCTATGATTCTATGAATAACAAGAATATTTGCACTTATGTTAGTGCAAAGTAAATTATGCAGGCATGAATGCAGAAACAACTCATTAACTGCCTGAGTCTAGGAATGATGTTTCCCTTCTAGGGCATGCTAAGGTATGATTTTTAATGATAAAGATTTCACACCTTCCTCTGGCGCTTTTGGTACTGGCAGCTTTCAAGGAGGAGGATAATGGATTAGAAGGACCTTTGGTTAATCAATCCCAGGTTTCTTTTGCTTCAAAGTCCCCCTTCCTGATCTACAAGGGTGGTCTTCTCCACATTGGGAACAAGACTGTGCCAAGTTATTACACAGTTATTTATTTTTCTTATGGCTTTAGAGAGCAGATGTTCCCATGCAAGCCTTAGAGCTCCTCCTCTTTGGAGGTTTGCAGCACAAGCCGAACCCTGAATCTCATCCAGATATCACTGAAGTCCACAGCAAAAATCCCACTGAGCCGACCAAGATGAGGATTTGGCCCACTGACTGTGATAGTCTGTTCAGCTTCTGCTTCCATTGTGTATCTAGCAAGGAGTGGAAACAGATGTTAGCATTCACGGTTCTAATATTTGGGCTGCCTGATATGAGAAATCACAGGTATAGTCCTTGGATGGATTTTTTCATTCCTTTCTGGAAGAAACCATGATAAACGTGTTACCATTATAATGGACAAATCCTTAAATGCTGTGAGTTCAGCTTAACTTTTCAGAATTCAAACACTTATCCAAAGTTTATCTGAAAAAAAACCATGTTTTAAAAGTGGTCAAGAAGTCTCATCAGAACTTAATTTCAAGGAGTTTCAGCATTTCAGTATTTCCATGTTTTTTTTGACTGGCCTAGAAACAATGAGATACATAAAACTTATCAAAAGGATTTTAAAAAGGAGGAAATTTATCATTGACTTTTAGTAGATGGGAGCCTGCTGCTCAGGGAAATGAAAAAGATTCTGCCTAATATCATGCAGGAGTCGGCAGCAGAATCAGCAGCTGCTCTACTCTGCTTCCCCTTGTGAGAAAAGCAGCCTCTCTGCAGGGATTTCAGGTCACCTTCTTCTATACTCATCTCTCTCTGGGAACCAGAAGTGCAGAGGCTACAAAACTTTTAAATATGTATTTTTCCCAGTTACTCAAATATTCCTGAATACCTTCAAAAGCTTGTAGTTAGAACTATAGACTGAGGTGAGAAGATGTCACTACTTTAAGTGAACCTGCTCATTCACAGCATAATATTTGCTTTTTCGGTCCTTCTGTCTCTGGTTTTCTCAGCGACCTTGTGCTAGTACTGACGCGCTGCTGTTATGGCTTCGCATGTTTCCAGTTTTATTTCCCTGGGTCCACTTTGCAGGGTTTTGTTCAGTTGCCATGAAGGGATTTATTTTTTTTTTCTTCAAGTCATCATGAAGTGTTCATGCTCAAAACTCTCTCGTAGATCCATACCAGAGATTTAAATGGGACTCTTGGGAATGTGGGTAACAAGATCTTGCTCACTCCGTTACCTGAACAATGTCAATATCACTGGCATCCTTGCAGCTTAAATAGGAGAAAGCTTCCTCTCTATGAGACTGAATATTTCTATTATTTCAAAGGGCTCATCAAAAGATTGTGCTGAAGACTATATGGCTTTCTCGTGTAATGTTCTGAGGACTCACACCGGGACCAAAAGCCAAAGAAAGTGAATAGCTGCAATATCGGTAAGGCCGAGGAAAGTGAAGAGTAGGGATATTTACAAGAGAATATGACTTGAGTTCACACCTCTAAATTGGCATTTTGGCATGCTGGGCATTCTTTCTTTTCCTAATCCAATTCAAATTCTCCTCCCTGAGAGCAGTTCATACTCATGGCAAAGACCTCTCATGCTAAGAATTTTTTCTTGTATTTTCTTCTGTTTGGTTAGGGACGATTCACTTCTTCCTGAAACTCTCCAGGAGGAAGGTAATCCTTGCTCACACCAACACATCCCAATGACTCAGATGGGACTCGCAGCAGAAGCAGTTACAGAATAGGATCGTGTATTTGTTCAAACACATCGGCCAAGACACAATACAGAGAATGCGTGTACGAGTCCAGCAAAAAAAGAGAAGCAGGACCAAAATTTCTCAGTTGCAATGACATAAACAAAACTTGGGATAGTTTGCCAGATAAAGACTGCATGGGGAATGATGTCTTGTCAGACAGACTAGGAAACCTGCTGTTTACAACCTTAGAAGACAGTCGGTGATTTGTAACCAAGCAACAGATTTGCTGGTTTGCTTGAAATGAACTGGTTTATAACAAGGCAAGAGGCTTATTTAACTGAGGGCTTTGGGGAATGGAGTATTTTTTTAAAAGAAACATTTTAACTATAAAAAAGGTAAAGAGAATTTTGTTTATAAAACCTTTTTACAGTTTATTTCCTATCATTAATTTCTTAAAATATATATATATATAAAAATGAGGATCTGACTAAATGAATCAGGACGTTAAATGATAAAAGTTCCGTCCGTGTAAACAAATAAATAATTATGTACAATCTTTGGCAAAACAAAATGAAATTTCATTGATCTCACTCTCGCTCACACACATACTTGCAAAAAAAAAAAAAGAAAAAAAAAAAACATCATAAATAATTTACATAGAATAGGAAAATTATGATACAGTCCAAATATTAACATCTTCATCCCCACACTGGTGTCTCTCTCTGACAAAACAAAAAACCCTACACAGCCATTACAATCATTACATTTAATGAAGTCACCCTCCCTTCTGCTAGGGGCTTGGGGATACAATTTGAAACTCCAAAAGTAAGAAACTGAAACATTTAAAAACCTCATGAAGAGGATTTGGAAAAAAACAACCAACCAACCAACAAAACAAAATTGAATCAAAACTAAAAAAAGATTTGATAATATGAACACTATAAAATGTGCAATAAAGCCAGCAACTGTGGATTCCTTTCTAATGAATATAGCAACAAAATCTATTTCAAGGGTGAAAAAGTTCATTCAACATTTAGCTTACTGTGCCCTATAAGTAGGCAGAGGTACTGTATTATTCCATTAGTAAACCCATCTATGAAAAAAATTACACCAGCGCGTAATTTCTTTTTGTGAACAAAGCTCATACCACTTAAACAAAAACAAAAAAATGTTAAAACATGTTTATACTACTGTATATCTGAGTAACTGTTGTATCTGTCTAGAATAAACACTGGTATCCCTTCAGCATTATTTAAGAAGTTCTATATACAGCAGACATAGCTAACAATATAAAATATTAAAATTAAGGTAACTGGATATATATTAAGGTTCCATTTATAAATTCCTTATTATTATTTGTTTAACTTTAAAGCATACATGAATATAATCCATGAAATTATACTTAAGTGTATACCATGCTTGGACAATATCTACATATTGTGATATGCTCTTAAAAGTAGGTTTAAAATACTATTATGTGTGAATGTATTACTGATGCATTATACGACATGCTTTAAAATAAATTATCAGAGAAGGTAGCTTGGTGTGATAATCGTAATAAATACTAACAAAATATTTATAAATGGAACCTTAAATTTATACGTTACCAAATTAAGTAATAGTGGCGTTGCCACCTTTTGAAAAACCCACATCAGGATTCAGGATGTCAAAGTGCTTTTTGCAGCAGAGGTGGGAAAGTGGTGCGGGTTCATTTTGCTCCACATGGTCATGGTATATATTCTTTATTACAAGGGAATGCAAAATATGATGGAAAAAGAACAACTGGAAATAATTTTTTGAATATCAGAAAATAGTGATAGCTCTGGATGTTTAAATGAATCACTCCTCCCTTTCACGTGGGAGTTCCTAGTTCAACTGTTTGGCCTGAATTAAGTCTCTACTAAACAATGCTTTAGGTTGCAAATTTGACATTTCGACCAACTGTAACTTTAATGGGTGTTATTAAGAGCATCCTCATCAGCTAAAGAACATCTTTTTAGACCTTTATTATCCAAAGGCATTTTCATTGTTATTATAGATATTGTTGGTGTGGCCGTCCATTACTTTTCTAAAATTAGACCCAGAAGCTTTGTGTTACTGAAGTCGAGTCCTAATCAGGGCAAGGAAGTGTTAACTATACAGTTACAAAGTTATTCCAACACATTTTTCCTCACTTAAAACCAATGACTGATAATCTTCACCCCCCTCTTTTTCTCCATATATATATAAATACATTAAGTAATTACATTTTTATATGTAAACGTCATTCCTTAAAAAAAGCAAATAAACAAACAAACATGTTTTGCTAAGTTGTCACTGTACAAAAGTGTTGTAATGTATCAATCTGCTTTTGCTTCAGTGGCGGGTTGGACGTTCATGTTTAGGTTTCATTAGTCCTGGCTGTGAGAAGGCACTTGGGTGGAGGGATGGCTGAGGCACTTCTGGCAGCAGCGGGATACCTGATGAGTGGAGCACGAGGACAGAGGACAGGAGGTACACAAAAATAGAAACCGGGAGTACCAGGATGTACTGAGGTGTCTAGGTTGCATAGCATTTACAGTACTTTGCTGGTAATGCAGCAACCATTCTCAAGCATCTGAAAGAAACAGGAAAAAAAAGACATTAATTGTGACTGGTTTATTTGGTTAGGAAGTCAATCACACAAGAACAGAGCTCCATCATGATACAGTATTAGGATGCAGCACAGTGTTTCCTGTTCTGCATTTTCCTGCAAATGTGAAGAAATTTTATACAAAAAGAGGTATCTGCCTATATAGATAGACACATAGATATACGTATCTGTGCACCTATGTACCTAAATGCATATAAAAAATCATATATAAGAAAACCTAGGAAAGTATTTTCTGTATTTCAAAACATTTAGAATCATAGAATCATTTTGGAGAAGGCACTATAGACAGGCTCATTAAAAATATCTGCGTTCTCCTTCACTCCTCTTGAAAGAGAGGTGATCCAGAAGTAGCTCCCTGCCCGCAGGACACACTGAAATATCCTACAAAGGAAAGTGGATATACTGGATATACAGAGAGAATTCTAAACGTGTATCTCACTCAGAGATTTCGATCTCATTTTTTCCAGGTGGGTAGTATTAAACATCTGGTTTTTGTTATTCAAATTGAGATTACTATAGGGGCAAAGGGCATTCATGGTATTTCAACAAATCAAGGTTTACCACATGCTATGATATTACAGATTGCTTTCAGTAACTAGAGGATACTTTTCATTTCCATATTTCATGCTTGCTCTGGAGGTCATCAAAGGCTTAGGCATTCTCCAGACATTTTCTGTAACTAACCTCTGCATTCGTATTTGAGGTCAGAGAAATAGACCATCTCTTGAGAGAAAACAAAAAGACCTAATCGTCCACCAGCAAAGGTTGTATCATAGATTGGTCCGGAATCCACCATGACTTGTTTCCCTTCATACACTAAAACTCTGTAAAGAAGAATATAATTTAAATTAGACAAGGAGGATAATGCAGTGTTCCATGCTACGGACTAGTAACAGTTCCCTAGAACTGAAACAGAACTAATTTTAACAAGGCACCAGACAACCTAACTTCATTGTAAGGATCACTTCTCATCTCTATCTCACGCCCACCTGGCTGTCAGCCATAACATATTAATCAGCAGCAGTGGAGCTGCTCCATAAGTAATTTTATGCACACCATCTGCAGAAGATTTCCCAATTCTTTATTTAGAACAGTCATGTCTCCTGGAACGAACTATGTCATGTACAAGCATCCATTGATAAGCCCCTGTCTCTGTGAACTCAGAGGTTAGCACAAGACCTTGCCACATCACTTAGCAAAGTCATCTTTTCAGCTATGTGAACGGCTGATTTATTTATCTTTAGACGCAAGGGCCAACATCAGAAATGGGAAGAATCATCCCTTTAGAGTCAAACAAAACATTAATTGGAGACAAGCTGAATCTCAGTTTCAGACATTTTAAGAGCTTAATGAAAGCTGGAAGGATTTGGACACAAACAGCTAGACTAATAATACACTGGAAAAGAAGGAGAACTTGTGGGGTTTTTTTTGTTTTGTTTTGGATTTTTTGTTGTTTTTTGGTTTGATTAGGGTTTTTTTTCATAATGTTTCAGGCATCCACCCTGGAGCCAAAAGACCTCTAAAGACATCTCTTCATTTTTGTTCTCTATCAGATAGACTGCAGTTCCTTGAACTTGGATTCTCTGCTTCTCATGGGACATCTTGAGACAGTCAAGGTTCTTAGGCTCACAGTCTCTTAAAATAGCCTTTGGGTCAAATGAGAAGTGACTCTATAGTCTGATAATTAGTCTCTGGAGGAAGGACTATGGTCCTGCTTCAATTGACAATACATTAGCTATACAAAGTAAGATGGCTTTACATGAGAATAAACACATTTGAGCAACTTCCTATGGGATGCAACTCAAGGATTAGGGATAGATTTCTACTTAGACAGAAAGGCATGTCCAGCACTTGCTCTTCCTTGAAGTGTTTTATTTTCTGAAAGGTGCTCAAAGACAAATATGAAACTGCTCCCTGAAAACAGTATCTAATGGATGGTAAAAAGAACAGCAAAAAGAATGACAGGTTTTCACACTTGTGTAACCCTATTTAACTTAATTCTCAAAATTTGAAGAACCCAAAACACAGGGGAAGACTTTAATAAATTATTCATCCCGTCAAAAAAAAATTACACAGCTCTAATCATGTTAATACTAAATTGCTATTCTGTACAAATAAAATGGTTTCATGACTATATTAGTGAAATAATTTATTAATTTTCTATAAAAACACCCTAAAGAATGAAGGAATTTAATGCCTTGGACCATAGAATTTGTCACGCTAGATTAATCTAATGGGATACCAGTTGAAACATGCTTTGTCTGACACTAAGTAAATTCTGCAAAGGAAGATACAGGTAACAGTAACAAGAATGAAGAAGTCAAGTTTCCTTTTGACCTGTATTGGTCAATGCTTTGCACTGAAATACTATGATGCATAAAGAAACTATTTTCTTTCCAAGAAACGGGTAAGTTAATCCATCCAAATTTGTCTACCCTTTGTCTTTCACAGCCAAATGAAACTGGCGTGCTCATAAGCACAAACAAGACTTTAAGAGGTAAGGTCAGACTCTGCCCCACAAGAAACATCCTTTACAGTTACAGTAGTTAGTAGAAGATAAAATTGACATGGACAGTTAATGCTTATTCTTCGGAACATCAGATAAACAGCTGGGCTCTAAGGAAAGTCATATGCCATAACTCCTTATTGTGTGTGTTACAGATGTGCTCATGGCTACTTCTGCAGTATCTTGTATAAGCCACTATGGGAAACAGGATGCTGAAGTAGACAGGCCGTTGGCCGGCTTCCCTGTGGCAATTCTGATGTTTCTAATTAATTTCATTCATTCAAATTCCAGAGGCTGGGGAGGAATCTCGTGTTCTAATCTTGCTTTGAGTTTTGCTCAGGAATTTTTGGTCCTTTTACAGAAAAGCTATTGTCCTGGTTTCAGCTGTGACAGAGTCAGCTCTTCTTTTTAGCAGCTAGAAGAGCTCCGTGTTTTGGTTTTAGTCTGAGACTTACTCTGAGAAGAATGTTGATAGTGCACTGATGTTTATAGCTGGTACTGAGGTCTCAAGGACTTTTCAGGTTGCCGTGTTCTTGCCAGTGTGCAGGAGCACAACAGGATAGGGGGGAGCATGGCTGGGACAGAGGGTCCACGACTCTCCTTACGATTTGAACTTAGACTTAGGATTGAGGGTTAAATTGGCCAATTAGTATTCCATATCATGCAGCGTCATGCTCAGTATAAAAATGAGGGACAGCCGGAAAGAAGGGCCTTTGCTTTTCTGGGACTCTCATTTTCATACTCTCAGAGTGCACTCTCTGTCTTGCTCTCTATTTTCAGGCCTCTCACTCATCCAGGATTGCATTGTTGGGACTTATCTGTTTCGGGATACTTAATTCGGGACGAGATGGGCCTCAGTCAACGGGTGGTGAGCAATTACACCGTACATCACTCATTTGTATATATTTATCGTTGTACACATATGTATATATTCATATAGTTGTAGTAGTATTAAATTTTTCTTATCTCAACCCACGTTGAGAAGAACCCAAATTGTTCTTATCTCGTTCCTTTTCTCCTTTAATTCCTTTCCTCATCCCTGGGGGGTGAGGGAGAGTGAGTGAGTGGCTGTGTGGAGTTTAGTTGCCAGAGTGGCCTAAACCATGACAGAGAAAGAATTTTATTTCCTGCTTTAATTTAAGGATATTTAGCTGATGTAAATACTGAACCATCCAGACTAAATTAAATACCTCTGAAAAGGAAAATAACTTATTCTAAAGATAACAAATTGTCCTCAAAATATTGGAACAAACTGTCACACAAGTATCATCATCATTACAACTAACAAAGAAACTGATAAAATAGCTCTTATATCAATAGAGACAAAAGCTTTGCTACTACAAATTACAGAGATGCAGAAACATTTCTTACTTTATTAATCCAGTTTTAGGCCTATGAATCAAATGCCACCTGTAAGCAGTATAATCTTTCCAGCCAATGTTCTTGGGATCATGCCACAAAGTACGCACCTGCAGTAGGAATATAAATGCCTTATTAGAAACAGACTGTGCTCCAGTAACTGTACGTCCACTATAGTAACTGTAAATGCACCCAACGCTTATTTGCTGCAGAGCCTGAAACTGAAAATAGTGTTTTAACATTTGATGGTATGATCAGCAGACCCCTTTTGTAGAGCAAAAGTAATGAAAACTTCTGTCATAAATTATTGATCAGTTACCGATCTGTAGATTCATGGCTGGAGTCACTGAAGACCACTACAGCATCAAACCTGACTCCCCTTAGGAAGTCTTGCCCCCATTTGCACACACACACCCACGCTGCTACAGTCCATGCTACTTTTCCTATCTGTATGAGTGGCTCCACCGAAGGACAGGGACTGCAGCTTGCACAGATGTTACTGCCTGTGTCCTGCTCCTTGAAATCTCTCTCACTCAGTCAAGGTCTTGTTCCTGCAAGGAGCTTCAAAGTGTGAAATTCCTATCCACATGCGAAGCCCCACTAACTTCATTTCCAAAAGGCACAAGTTTCTTCCACGGCTGGGCCCTATTTGGAACAGCAGCAGTTTTTCTCTCTTTGTTTTCATTTCTGTTCTCTTTGGCTGTCACTGGTTACTGAACTCTACACCACGTATAATTCAAACAAGCTGAAATACTGAAGAAGCAAGTGCCAATACAGAGGTCACAAAGGATTTATGGATAACTGAGACCTCTCACTCCTTTTTCTTTGGACCACACCACATCTTCCTCTTTAAACATGTAATTTTTTCCACTCATAATTTTTGATACGTGTAATGTTTTCTTTGACACAATGCAAATGTTATTATTGACACTAGTAATACGGGAATTGAGGAAAAGCTGATAAACATCTGCGAAAATTGAGGTGAGAAAGGAAATTCTTTGAGACACCTCCCTTCTTTTTAAAATACTAATTATGCATCGTTGCCCTGAAGTTTTAAATCTCTCACCTGTCCAGGGGTGTTTCCTGTGTGCCAGAGAGCATTTCTCAAGTGTTCACCAGCACCAGTTGTTGAATTCACTACTTTGAGCGACACACCAGAATAGCCATAAGCCCTGGTGGGTTTGTCCTCCCAGTACGTCTGAGTGACCTGCTTCCACATCAGAACATAAAACCGACTGCTGGACTGGTAGCCGAACACAAAGCCGGCATAGTCATCATCGCGGTCAGTGTTAACATAGAACGTCCCACTGAAGTCAACGGAGCTGAACTCATCATAGCCTGGGAGACGACAAAAGAGACAAACCGTTGAGTTACAATGCTGGGTCTGGCCACCCACATCCAAGAGTCTCAGCTCTATCCTGAGTTTTGCCAGGAGTTGTAAACTATCTTTTTCGGTTTCCTTACCTGTAGGACAGGAGGTAATTACACTTGCCTACCTATCGCATGGAGGCTTCTGGAGAGAAATATGTTGTTTAGAAGGCTGTTGAAGACAGCAGGCACTATAATTATATCAAGATCTTCAGCTGAGTATTTTGTGTTACAGTCAGTGATGAGATGGTCAACGAAGGCAAACAACATTGAGCTGTTTTTTATTTGGGCATACACACTGTCCCTGTGTGTCAGTCCAAAGCTCGCAACACCAAAAAGGTGTGTTTATCTACATACTTCTTCCCTTTCCTTATCTCCAGATCACTGGTTACTTTTCCAAAGATGATGGCTGACATCTGACACTTACCTACAGCTATTCCAGGATCAGAGTTGGCAGTCTGCACCAGTTCCTTGCCTTGGTGGCGAATAACCCAGTTGGGATCAATCTGAGCTGTTCCCTTGGGGTCCAGGGGGACCATCTGGAACTTTCTGAAATCAGTTTCACTGATGGCATTGTTTTCAGGGCATACATCATAAATATCTGGGACATTGTCATTGTCAAAGTCATCTTTGCAAATATCACCTCTGCCATCACCTATAAGCAATGTGAATAAGCAAATTAATTGTTAGTAATTTACACAGCCTTCCTAACAGCTCTGCCACTGACAGAAGAAATTTATGATACATATGAGTATGTTATTCTCTTGTTTCTCAAAGCATGCTCCAAATGACTCCAAAGAAAGCTTCATTCTCTGCAAGTCCATTTGAAACGTTGCTGGTAATGACTGGAAGAAGTCATCAACTTAGACTAGGGCCAAAATCATTGTTAATAAAACTGTCCTGTCAGTGGTTTCTGACAGTGATCAATCTGGCTCCAGTCTATAGGCTGCTTTAGAATCAGGGTGGGAAAAGTTGGAAGTTTGCTATGTCGATGTAATTCACTAATGTTTGTATTACATTTTCAGTTTGATTTGTCCCAGATGTGGATACAACGCCACTTTAATATGTGCAGTGTAAATGAATTCAAATGATATTGTTAAAATCTTAATCTTCCTGCACATTACTAAATCTTTACATACAATTGAAGATATTAAACTTTTCTTCAGACTCTTATCTCTGTCTCAAGATTCCTTCAGCAACAATCCATCTAAGGTGTTTCAGATTGCAGAAATGTCACATCTATGTCAAAAGACAGTATTGCAGTAAAATATACATACATGCTCAGTCACTCTTTCACTTGTGGGTAGAACAATTTGTCTTATAAAAATGCAGTGCTTCAGAAAAATGTAAGAAAAAAAGAAAGAAGCACTGTATCCAACAGGACTAGCCTTGGAGGAATGGAAATATTGTTTTGTTACATGAATTGAAAGAATTTTTTTAGAGAACCTAAAAATACATCCATAAAGTTTAGCTACACTTGTGCTGCTGTTCAACACTTTTACTATGCTCTATATTAAAAAAAAAAAAAAAAATTCCTTTCTTAATTTACCCATAATATTGGTTGTACCCACTATGTCTTGATTCCTTGAATAGCAGGTGGTGAAAGGAGGCATCTAAAAAACAGTACCCCATTGTCAATGCCACTGTTATTCAGTAGCATACAATAAATAGTATAAACACTTGAAAATAAATTAGAAAAACTTGGCTAGACAAGCATAGAAACAAATTCAGAAATGGCTCTTAATTTTACAACAGAAACCACTGGATATTTCGCAGGGTACTAATGTAAAATCAGAACTGCCCGCTAATTTGTTTCTATCCTCATATTGCTGAGCATCTGCTTTTTTTAACTTAACTGCTTGTGACTGCTCTAAGAACATAGGAATTAACACAATGGGAAATAGCAATGATCCAGCTCATTCAATATTGATCTTCTACTAGATGCTTCACAGACAAGTGGAAAGCTACATTACTATGTCTAACCAGCACAGTATTATTCAAGTATGAAGCTTTCAGAGAGAAAGCAGAATGAGTTTAGGTAACAGCCAAAAAAAAAAAAAAAAAAATTAGAGAAAGCTGAAGTATCTAATATCTCAAAGACTTTCTGCAGTTCAGATTTGTAGTAAAATGGTCCCATTTTCCACCCTGGCAGTCAGCCATGGAGAACTCCAAATTCTGATCAGCTGTGTACTCTTGCACTTGTTTGTCTTAGTACTTAACGGAGAAAAGAGAATGAATTTCCGATCTTATCCCCTTTGCCAATATCGAAGAGGTAATTCTTGAGTCACAGGAGAATCTAATTACTCACTGAAAGTCCTGCTGATGTTCATTTGGTACTGAGCTGCTGCTGACAACATTGATTCCCCGTCAAGGGAAGTTAGAAAGTGTTTACCCAGCCACATCCAACAGCTCTTTCCAGGGCCTCATCTTTATATGCTTTAGCCCACATCTTCAAGAGCGGCAGCATCTTTTGGCTTTATCGCTTTTCCAAGATTTCTGTTGGACCTGCCACTAATAACAGTGATGAGCTGGCTAAACTGCTTAAATTTACTCTTTTTGTGAATACTTAACTCCATACACAAATGTAGTCTCTTTCACAAGATCCAGGTTGCTGACTATAACAAACTACCCCAGTTTGGGAGCACTCTTATTCTGGAATATTTCTGAAATTAAAGGGCTATTCCAGAGATTGGCAAGTACAAAAATATTCCCAATATATCATTGGACTGAAAGTTTAAGTAATTTAAGAATTACCACTGACTACCAATCAGAAACTTCCTACTGCAAGCCGTTGTCTTACCAGGAAACCAGTCAGGGCTCAGTATTCATTTCTTAAACTGTGACATGCACATCATCAAGATATATTTAAAGCTACATATAAAGCAAATTTGAGAAAGGCTGCTCAGAAATCTTTCTACAAAAATAATTAAAAATTAACAAGAATTTTAGACTTAAAAAACCAGGATAGTCTGTTTTTCAAAATCAAAAAGAGCAGTAAAGCATATTTTTTTCCATTTTAATTTTCAGAAGACAACTCATTTTGAAAGCAAAGCAGCTCATTTTTCATTTTAAGACTTTTGAAATTCATGCTATTTGAAATATTTTAATATTTCAATTCAAGGGAAAATCAGAAGTATTTAAACAAATATTTTTTCTTTTTAAATTTCTTACAGGTGTTCTTCTGTAAATAAGTATGTGCATGTTTGAGCCTCTGTCAAAGAAGTTTCCTAATGCTCTAGCCCTGGGCTAAACTGGACAGTTCAGTTCCATTGAAGTCCACAGTGTCTCACATGTCTAAAGCAGCTCAGCTTGATCTGAAGTCTTTCTCTTCATCAGACATTAATACTCCAAGATCAGAACCGGACACTAAGAACTAAATGAAATTCATATGACGTTGTTCTTACCATCAGAGTCCTCCTGCTCAGGGTTGTATCTGAGGCGACAGTTGTCCCTGTCATCTGGGACACCATCATTGTCATCATCAGGGTCACAGGCATCTCCTTTACCATCTTTATCATGGTCAGCCTGGTTAGCATTGGGGATGTAAGGGCAGTTATCTTGGTTGTTCTGGTGGCCATCTTCATCTATGTCCTCATTGTTGTCACATTGGTCACCAACAAGGTCATTATCTGCATCAGTCTACCCAAAAATATTTTTAAAAGTAAATATATTATTGTTACTAAACACAAAAGTATGGATAGCCTGGTACTTAATTTCTCAAGTCCTCTTCAAGGACTTCTCTGGAGACAAGTGATATAATGATGACAACTGTGCTTAGAGCAGAACATAACTTCAAACTATAGTATGGCTACTTATTCTGCTACCAGTGCATAGAATCTGGTCCCCAAGACATTTCCAGGGCAGGACTTTGGCTATGATCTTCAATGCTCTCCTTCTAGACATTACAGGAGAGTGTCAGCCTGGGCAGCACATTTTCTGACTGCTTCTGTAGGCTTGATGTTACTTACCTGTGCATGGACCACCAAACTCAAGCATACTAAATGCAGCCCTGAGGCTGTACACACTTGCCATGGGAGAAGAAAGCAGTTTACCAAAGGCCTGAAGATGCATTAAAGGCGTGGTCACTCCTTTCATCTAATACAAAGAGATCTGACAACCTGAGATGTGAAAATGAGCAATACAGATCCACCTCTTCAGCTCTACAGAAAACAGGGACTGATAGCAATTCCTTTGTTCTCTTCTCTGCCCTTGTTCTGACATTACCATTAATGAAATTGTGCCTAGCATTTACCTGGTCTGGATTATGCATCAATGGACAATTATCACACTGATCACCAACTCCATCACCATCTGTATCACTCTGGTCTGTGTTATAGACGTAAGGACAATTATCTCGTTCATTAAAAATGTCTATGAGGGAAAAAAAAACAACAAAAGATTGAAGAAATCAGAATTATACAGCATCCAGCACAGACAGCCGTAGACTGCAGGAGTCATCAGTAGAGAAGCAAGGCTCTTACAGAGTTCATAGGCTTTCCAATTTCTGTAACATGAAATAGTGAAAAGACTAATCTTAGAAAAAAAAAATGGTATCAGTTCCACTTTACTTGCTACAATAGACTTCTATATGTATTTTCCTAAGGGATTTTCCTAGAGTAAGGGCTGACTGTGTCTTAAGAATTTAGCCCTTTTTCACAGAATAACAGAAAAAGAAGTGGGGTATTTTTCTTTTTAAAAATTTTGATTTGGATTTTCTTCCCAGACACTCTAAGGAATGGAATAGAATGCACAGCTATAACATGGTGGAATTTCCCAAGAGTTTTGTATAGGAACAACTGCATTAATGGTCAGCTGCCTCAGCACTAAATAGTTTCATTTTACCAGAACATATGCATAATTTATTGTACAGAATGCCAAATTTTCAAAAGAAACTGCTCCCCCTCACGAAACTTTATTATATAACCAACAATCTCCTGCAAAATTATAATACATTGGCATATTTGGCCATAAGTTGGCATAGCTGTCTGGAAAGGATACAGGCACCCTCTCCTACATTATATGCTCCCTGGATATTTGCATTATCTTTCAGTCAATAACATATCATTAAGTTTTTATTCAAATGCAAAACTCCCATGAGCACTATCAAGAATCTGATGATCAGAAGGATGAGAAGACTTTAAAATGTTCAGAAGTTCAAGTTAGATAAGCACCCAAAAGTTACTGAAGTAAATCCAAAAATACATTTCTTCAAGTTTTAGTGCTTCTTGATTCTCTTAAATTTGAGTGCACAGGGATATGATTTTTTGAAAGACATTTAAGTGCTTTTCTACTTCCTTAGTTCTGATCAAATTTGGGTCATGTAGGAATGTACTGGTAGATGAAATAAACACCTTTAATAATATTTTAAGACACATAAAAATGTGCATTTGGATTACTGTGGGCTTTGCAGTACGTTCATAGAAAAGCGGATTAATTTCCTATAGATATTGTCTTAACTGCACAGATGTTTTGATATTCATTTCCCTAAAAAGAAAAAAAAAAGTCAACAGAAGTGTTATATTAGACCCTGATTACTTTGGAACACAGACAAAGGAAAGAATTTTTTTAAAGATTACATTGATAAAAGACATGCTGTGATTTATTCTTCAGTAATATCCACTGTAGTCATTTAGGGACTTTGTGCACAACTATACTACACAGCACAGATGAACCTCAGTCTTTTCTTTTTTCTCCTGTATTTTTGAGCAGCTAGACCAAATTTTACTCCACGTACAAAAGCAGTTAGCCAGTCTTATTGAACATAAAGCAAAAGTGTACTTGCAGAACAACACTTCATTCTCAAAACTGAAATCATACCATCTCCATCAATATCCACAGCACACGCGTCACCCTCCCCATTATTATCTGTGTCAATCTGAGCAGGGTTGTGCACATAGGGGCAATTATCACAGCGGTCGCCAACTTCATCCTTGTCATAATCAAACTGACGAGGGTTGAACAGAAGAGGGCAATTGTCCTAGTAAGAAGAAATAGAAGATTTCAGAATATAAATCGCAACTCATTTGAGCACACTAGGAAGTGGTAACTCTTCCTGTTCATCTTGGACAGAGGCCAAAAAACAAAATATTATTCAATAATTTTTAAAATGGACAAGGTGTACCTACACTGAAGATCTTGGTGGCAACTGGACAGCATCTGCACAGCCTGACTCACTGTCTCTTTTTGTGTTTTTGTACAAGGTATGTGAAATGTGTTCCATGTCTCACTAGTACAGCAGCAGGCATTTTAAATTTGATCTGTACTCAGATAGTTCAACAAAAGAGTACCACTGGTACATGCGTTTTTTTTAAAAAAATCAGAGTGTGTTGTAAAATTAGGCCAACTTCAGCTGCACATTACATTTTTTGGAAAAAAATAGAATTGTTACTCTGACTTTTTTGGAACAAACTAGTATCAATATTCTCATTTTTAAATCACATATTTTGATTTTTCAATTTCAGATATTTTGATTTTTCAATTTAAACAAAGATTGACTTTTTTTGTGGGTTGTGTTACATTGCACATGATAATAAAATGTAAAAAGTTTCAAAAAGCAAAGTTAAAATGAAACACTCTCATTGACCCAAAATATTTTTCCCCTGAGAGCATTCCTTTTAGTGAAATTCTGAAAGTTTCATTTCAGTTTAGTCCCTAATTTGAAAGTCTGCCAGAACAAGAATTCTTATGTTTCACACATCCTCAAATTACACAGACTTTTGCACAGGCACGAGGAAGTACTCAGTGTGGAAATCAAACCAAAGTAGTGGGAGTGCGGGCTACATCAGCATCATGGAATCTGAAGGGAGATCATTTGGAAAATATCTTTAAACTACTTTTTCTCTGGTAGAGCAAAAACCATTTACTAGGAAATAATTTTTTAGCCCAACATTTTAAATTCCTCAGAAATACATTTTATATACTCAAGGACAAGATATAGACTCAAATAAAAAATTTATAGTGCTCATAAAACTGAACTTCTGGTTACAATTTTTCAAATATATGTACTAAATCATATTATTTTATCAAATGATTATTTCATTTTTTAAATATTCTAAGTAGAGGCTCCATGAACATAGTTCTAACCCAACTTTAACCATCTGAAGCACTAGAGCATCTAGTCTCCCTCTGAGGGGAACAAAGAGGAACAGTAAATTTCTAAAACAAATTCAATCATGCTAAATATGTTCAGAAAATGCAGGGTGAAGCCAACTCTGGACATGTCTTTGTCCCTTTGCTGAATGTATAGGAAGAATAAGTTTAGACTAACTGCCTATCTTTTAGGCTCTGTAGGCAAATGAACTTCAGTCTTGTGGGCAGACCTAAAAGAGGAAAGTATGAACCAGGCTAAGTACGTTCCTCCCGTCATTTCCCCTTGATGCTGGCAGTGTTTATAGTTATTCTTATTTATCATAACTTGTTTCCAACATACCTCAGATATGATTTTTACCAGCTTTTCAAATACAATGGACCTATTATTCTCTCATTGCAAATTAAAAAACAACAATACCACTTTCCACTAAACTGTTATCATGCACACAAATAAACTCAGAACTGATATGGAGAACATAATTCAGCCCTGACTGCTTTGCTCGGCACAGAGCTACTCTCCTTTGACCCAAAACAGCTTTGCACTAGATATCACTCAGGGAAGGCAGTGCAGAATAACTCAGCTGAAGCTCTGAACAATAAAGCCCTCATCTATTGTAATGGTTTTCCTTAAAACCAGATGTTTAGGTCAAACGTACTGAAGACACAGAAATGCATCTTACTTTGTCATCTTCGACACCATCGTTGTCATCATCCTCATCACAGGCATCTCCTTTGCCATCTTTATCAAAGTCTTCTTGGCCAGAGTTAGGCAAAAGGGGGCAGTTATCCTGGCCAAAATACATTATCAATACATTATGCTTACATTATGTCAAAATGACTTGCCTGGGCAGAAGAGTAGATAAGGTACACCAGAGACTATAAAACAAGAACAATCGCAAATACTTTTTAAAGTGCCTGTTTGTTCGCTGCCAAAGATAGTAGTTCATTTGCTGCTTTCGTACTGTAAAGTAAGTGAAATGCATCTGCAAATCATTCTATTTCCCAGCTCTCCTTCTGTTAAAGCGATGTTTCCAGTAAATTTCAGATGGAACTATCTAGCAGAGAACAAACACATCACACGCGCACACGTGCACTCTTACATCAACTTTTTATAGACAACTAATGAAGTATGTTTGAAGATTACATACAACATGACCAGGTTTGGTTGCCAGAAAAATAAAGACACAAGCCAGGAGATGATCTTCAGAAATAGTTTTTCATATGGAAAGTTACTGGAACGAAGTAGTACACAGCAATGAAGGGGAACACTGTAAGAAAGGGTTTTGAAAAACGTGCCTTTATACTGTTCTGCAAAACAGTATCTTTGCACTCTCCTGGCTTGGAAAATCAAAGACGAATGCATCTCTTCTCTTTGTGAAGAATGGTTATTTTAAGTGAACAAGTCTTAGGTTAAACTAAAAAAATAAGAAGTGAAATAGTTTGCCAAACTTTTAACATGTATTCCTTTTTAAAAATACTAAAATCAGCTAAAAATGGATTGCATTTCTACCACTGGCTAAGAATAAATACATCTATAAAAACTCACTACTATTCTCACTTTTCCTCACATTCCATATCTACCTCACATCAAAACTGAATCTGCCAATAGAGCACAGAAATATCTTTTTGTAACTCACACCCTAAGAAAATTAATATTACAGTAAGATTCCTAGCCCTGTTTTCAATATCAGTGATTCTAATAGTATAGATAATTTAAGGAAAAGGGAACTGGAAAATTTGTGCAAAATATCAAAACCCCAACACAACTCCAAATTATTGATGGCCTTTTTTTCATCAAATACCTGTGAATAGCCTTGACTGTCCAACTCAACACTGGTAATGTGTTACAAAAAAAGTTTTTTGAAACAATGAAAGAAATTAGGTGAAGCTTGCTCAATCACTTTATATGTCTGTATCTATATGTTTGTCAGTCTGTCTGTATTCTCTGTAGATTTGAGTCCAATTTCATAGAAATCCAATAGCAAGGTGGAGACCTCACGAGTAGCAAGTTCCTACAAACTTTGCAAAAAGAGTTAGTAGAGTAGAGCAAGGAGGTTCTACCAGTGCACTCTAAAAGTTTCTTATTAGATATTAGTAAGGGAATTTATTAAACATCACACCTTCCACCTGAGAACCCAACCTTGAGGCACAAGCCCAGTGGAAGCTAAGCTTCTTTGGTTCACCTATTGACAAAGTTATGTGTTGGTATGATAATTCTTATGGAAAAAAATGCTGTTTTCATGTGAACAAAAAAGAAATTTACACTAAAAAGACATTGCTAAGATTTTATGATTATTTACAACTACTTGCTTTATTCATATAGCTTTGCTTAGACAGGAAGCTAATTTTCAGCCGTTATCAGCCCAATGAAAGAAGCTTTGGTTTGCTTTTTTAAAATCAAATTACCCAACTAGGATATTTTGTAATGAATATAAGGACCTGAATACCTGGTATTTTTAAGGTGTTTTCTGGGTTTTTTTCCCCTTGAATGAAGTACCTGTGTCTATTAGATGAACAGATGTGTTATAGAAACCATGAATCAACCTTTGAAAACACATTTTTTTCTGAATGAGTTCAGCATATTGGGTTTTTAATGAAAACTAATCATTTGCATTACATCCGGAGTCAACATGTTGCAGATTCTGGTGACAGGAACTGAAAAACAGTATATGAACCGCAATTGCTGACTTGGCTGGATCCACAATGAACAGACATCAGCTACAGTGGGAAAGTTCAATATTTAAGGCTCAAATTTCCATCAACGTCCGAAACTCTTCAGCTGATAAAGGTCAGATTCACGACTTCAACTAGATTACACCTGAGTGACTTCTGATTCTCTCAAACGGTTTGATTTCAAACTTTTCTCATCTCTTGAGTCATATTTGTTTTTTAACCACTGTAGCAGTCTAGAACTCGGTCATTTTTGCATTTCTTTCCTCATTATTTAATCTGAAATTATTGTGCTAGAACCTCATGGCAGTTTAGAGGTAGATCACTTTAACAATATTTCAGATCTGGGGTAAAAATACAAAAACCTCAGGAGAGAAAGCATTGAGCTTGTAGCCACAACTGACCCAGCAAAATACTTGAGCACTTGCCCTAGTGAAAGCAAGTAGGTAATCCAGCGTTGTTAGTGATCTCATGGGTAAGTGTTTAAAACTGAGCACTTGCTTATGTCTTCTGCTCAGATAAAGCTCACTTCATCCCAGTTGCTTACTTTGCTCTTGCAAACAGTGTATGGCTCTCTGCATTGTGCCTGTCATTCAACCATCAGTGAGGTCACCACTCAGAACTAGGATCCAGGGAATTACCTGTCAGGGACTGCCTTCACCTCTCAGCTATTTCAGCCATTGTTAAACTGGTGGACCCGGAACAACTTTCAGCCTGGTTTTGCACAGCAGTGTAACTCCATCAGGATGAGACATCCAAGCACAGTCACTGTTTTTGAGCAATTTCCACTGGAAGGAACCTCAGGCCACGGAGCCAAGGAAGAATTATAGCATGCATCAGATAAGCACAGAACCAGGTCCCAGGGAACATGCCATGGTGGGCACCCACTGCTAAACCTACATACCACCATTTTTAGGCTCCCTGATGCTTATTTTCTCCTTACTGAAGTAATATTTCATTTTTCACTACAACGGCACAGTTGCAGCAGCAAGGGTGGAGAACAGTCCCCTACCAGGTTGAGAGCCAATGCTGGCAGGAAGGTCATTCCCCTTGGGAGGGTGAGAGCTGGGACTCCACACCTCTGAAGAGTATGCGAGACTGAATCTCCCATCCTCTCCCACTGATTTTTTGCAATAAGGAGAACTCCTCTGACTCATTGATTCCTCTCAGGTTCCTATTGCCAAAAATTATTTCAGACTCTGAATCCAGTTTTCCCAGAGAGTGTGACCTGCTTAACTCTTTAAAAGGAAGGGGTAGTTCAAGAAAGGATTTAGAACTGTAGACCTTACGTGGCTGTCAGTGTCTTGTTACAAGCTTTGCAGGTAGGATTTCACACTCACCTGCACCCAGAGATTCCTGTTTAGTTATCACTATCTGTGTGCTCCACACCCATGCTTTAGGCAGCTATTGCTCGGTGTGCTAAATCTATTCACAAGCATCCCAACCTTGCCCGTATTCTGAGCAGGAAGAAATCCAAAGCAGAGGACTCTGGATTTCATTTTGAGAATCCCTTACTGGATCTAGTGTTAAGGGAATACACATTTCACAGCATCTTCCAGAAAATGAGCATGCTGTAACAGTCAAAGTTTAACGAAAGTAGCCACCAGCTTGATGCTGAAAAGTGTTATTCACAACTACTTATAAAAAAAAAAGAGAGAAAATTTGGTTATGGCATGGCATTTTTATCAACCTTTCTTACTTACCTTCACGCAATGGTATGTTGCATTAGCAGCACAGATTAAGTTATTATTAGGCCAGCCATCCAAATCCGAATCCTCACCACAGATGCGTCCATCACCAGCATAACCTGTCCTACATTCACATTTGTACATAGGATCACTGAAGTGGCCCAGATAGATGCACTCTGCAGACTTATGGCAGCTGTGTGTCTTGTCCTTGCATGGATTCTCAGGTTCACAGACCTGCAACAGACAGAGCGTACTCACTGCAACACGATGATATTCACAGTCAGCTGCGTGTGCCTCAACTTTGCCAAAGTCGAGCCAGTTATTTAGATGCCTAAAGACAGGAACTTTGTTTTAATCGTGGTTACTAAGTCATACTGCTCTATCAGTTCACAACTCCAGACAATGTGCACAATGAAAGTAAGTAAAATAAACCACAGGAAAATTGGATATTATTCAAAAAGCAATTAAAGCAATTAACATTTTCAGAACTCTATCTGCTTTCTTCCAGACATCACTAATCTCCAGAAACTAACTGCAACAGAAGGTAGACTCTACTCGCCTCTTTCCTTTAGTGTTCTGCCTGTCGGTATGCAAGGAATATCTTATTTTCCTAAATCAAAGACAGCATAATGAACTCTCACATCATCCTCAAGTAATTTTTTGTTACTTCTTTCTTATCATTTTGCTTAATTTCATTGACGGTATCTGAGAATCTTACACAGATGTTTTACATTTAGACTTCACATGTTGAACAAACCACAGACTGATTCAACAGCAACAACAAGAAGGCATCCCGTGAAATTCATTTTATGTTTTTGTCTTGTCTATCAAACCATAGTCTTCAATATTACTTCCACTTCCTTCCGTCCTTCACCACTGATAGGTGTTGGCCTAATGGAATTTAGGGAGTGAGAATTTCAGACATACGTCTGATGACATCCACATTAACAGCATTATATTTATGGAGAGAATGAACCTGTTTCTTCAGTTCCCAATCCCCAGAGCAGGTATATAGACCTGAGAGAAAAGAGTGCAAAGCAGAGGAATGCTTGCTCCAAGCATTTTACCTTCATTTGATGCAACTGTGCAGATGCCTAGAGAAAACAAAGCCTTCAAAAAAAACTCCTCAAATTCAGTGTTTTGTCACTCAAATCAAAAATACTCTGGAACAGCACTTACCTACTTCAGGTTATCTTTGTTTGGTACCCAAGTTTATCACATGCTTTCATTCACAGACATTTTCAGGTGAGAATTACTCAGTTTCAAAGCCATTAAGTTCTCTTTGACATCACTTACTTGCTTCTCTGTCTTGGCAACTTCCAGCCCTACCCCATAAGGCTGACTTCCTTTATAGCGTGGAGGACATGGCAAGCAGTGGAAACCCGGATTTGTGTTCACACAGCGATGGACCTGATTCACCTTAAAGCAAACATCTGACACAGCTATACACTGCAGAGAAAAGAAAGAAAGAGGAAACCAATTAGACGGCTGTGTAATTCCCAAATAACGAAAATTTCACAGTGATTTCCTGATGTTAATGGAAACAAAGTCAATACCTCATCAAGATCCTCACAGAGGGTACCATTGCCAAGGTAACCTGCTGGGCATGGCCCACATGACCAAGACCCATCTGGGTAACTGTTGCATTCTGCTCCAGGAAAGCAAGGATTTGACAAACACCCATCTGGCAGAGACACAAGAAAGTGCAAAGTAAGTTAGGAGCATAAAAACCATGTAGCATTTCATTGAACAAGTATTCTCTGTTCATTAGCTTAAATCACATCTGATGTAACAGACTCTTAAAAACCCTTAGAATTAGGGTTGTTAAATATACTATTTATTTAATATGAAAATATTACAGATTGCTACATCCAGTTGAATACATCACAGCATATTGAAGCCCTGTTTAAGAAATGCATCCTTGTTCAGGATAAGTCAATGTTAAGAACATATATAAAATCCTACTGATCTAAACAGTACTTAAAATAATGTGCTTTCCTGAAACAAAGTGAAATTAGAAGATTTCTGCAGTGTCAATTCATAATTATCAATTAAAGAAATAACAGTAATAACTATTCGGACTGAATAAAGAATGACTAAATACCAACCAATTGGGCAATCCTTCTTATTGCACATATCATGTTGCTTGGTATCTCCCACACATGGCTTTCCTCCATACTGTGGCTCTGGACTGTTACAGAGGCGAGACCTCTCACGAATTCCTCCTCCACAGGTAACAGTGCAGGCAGACCACGGAGACCAAGGACCCCACTTGCCATTCACTAGGATATGCAGAAAAGTGGAGAAGAGCATTACAGGCAATATAATGGGGACAACATTTGGTGTCCAGAACAACCACCCTTTCTTCAGATCCCTGACTGGAGACAGTTTCTCAATATGCACATAGGAGGAAAGATGCTAGCAGAGTCTAGCACTGAGGTAGTAATACTTCAGAAACAAACAAACAAATAAAAAATACCCAACTGTTTTATAGGCATTTTTTGGCCAATAATTCAAAACAACATGCCGTGTCCACCGGCATGGTGTATTTCTGTTTAAGTTGATCAGAAAAGTACAGTGCCTTCAAAGGTCTCTACTAAGCTTTCATTTCGTAAAGAAAGCAGGATGTGACCACAGGATACAAACCTCTGCTGAGCCAAATATGAGCTCTATTGCCTTTTTTTATGGCAACAGTATGCTCAGTAAGGTTGCAGCTATTATTCTTGTTTGGTAACCCATTCCTCAGTGTATCTTATAGCATCGCTTGACTCAAGTAACTTATTTCAATTATTCTTCTGCATGTTTTATATTGGTACAACTCTACCGATATTGTTGTCATTGATTCTGAATATTCTTGAAGTACAAGAATCTTTGAATCAAGCTCTGTGTTTGTTCTTGGAATTGCAAAAAAACTTAAGGACAATGGGGCATGTCCTTAAATAAATAACCTTTTTACTAACTTCGCATTGCACAGGTAGATCAAAAAACAGATGAAGTGTGTATAGCTATCTAAGTACCATTAGGTTAGAAGTTTTACATCAGTTTCAAGCTCATATCCTGTAAGTGGAAAGGAATGGCTGAACAGAGAAGGGAATGAAGAAAGATATACAAAAGGAAAAAAATGAGGAAAAATTATACAAAAGGAAAATGAAAGTGAGTGGAATGAATGGTCTCTGAAAAGGTTAAAAAGGGTAGATGAGGAAGAAAGAATTATAATACGAATTAAATGTGTTGAATATGTGTAAAATATGTATGCATAGTTTCAAAGAAACCTGGTGATTGAAGTACTGTATGTCTTCTAATATGTAAAGTATCAGCTTCCTTTTAGATAGAAAGTGGGGTTTTTTTGATATGCAGAGATAAGTAAGTTATAAAACGAAAATTTCTCAAACTCTTAATGTTTAAAGCCAAATCATAAATTAGGAAGTTTATAAAACCTTCAATTGCATTGTTGTCTTCATTTTATAAACACCCATGTGTGTTTAAATCTACAATTTAATCTGCAAATTATATTTTCTGTCACAGAAATTCACTGTAATTTAGATCTGAATAAAGAGAAGAAACTCAGCTGGAATATTATTGCATTACCTTCGATTCAGGACCACAGACATACCTGGACATGGAACCTTCTCACACTTCTCTGTTTCACGACCATTTCCCACACAGTTTTTCCCACCCATCTGGGGGATAGGCGAATTGCAGAGGCGGATGCGGGTGATGTTTCCTACTCCACAGGTAACTGAACAGGAAGACCAGGGAGACCAGTGACTCCAACCACCATCTTGTCGTACTGCCAGAGAAAAGAGTAAAACTCAAGGAAAGAGCTCACCTGCAGCAGTAATACAATCTCACCTGTGAGGTTAAGCTTCTAATAAGCCTCTCACCACATCTGATGAATGTCCCATCTCTTTCCTACCACTGTCACTTACAAAGCTCCACATGTCAGCTCAGACATTCAAGTACAGCTACCTGCAACAGTAATAACTACAGTTCTGGAGACAGAGTATGATCCTTCTAAGTGCCTTACATATAAAAGAAGTTTAATATTTTATGAAAGTCTTCTATGATTACTGTATTCCTAAAAACTACTAAGCTAACAGAATGGGCCATTAACAGTGAACGAATGGCAGATCAAAATGTGGCCCCATGTATCATGGTTATGAACTGAGTTTTTCTCGAAACTGACTTCAAACAAGAGATTCCAGCTCATAATATTAAAGAAAAGATCACCCACTATCTTTTTGTTTAACAGAGCTGAGCCCAGAATGCACATATCTATTAAATTGTCAGGAATAAGACAAATATTTGAAAAGGGGCAGATGACAAAGAATCTAATGAGAGCTATTTTAATTATACATATGAGTGTTCAAATACATACTGTTCTGACTAGTGAGTATTCATAGCAAATCCAGACTAAGCTTGGTTTTGCTTAGAGAAGTCCAAAGAAGCTATAAAAAAAAAAAAAAAAAAAATTTTTTTACTTACTGCGATGATCACATTTCTTAAAGCTGCACATTCTTGTCTGGATGTGCGGGCCTGTACAAGCACTCCTGGTGACATCACACGACCTTCCTCGCATCTGAGTCCCAGAGCCACAGGTAACTGAGCACTTTGTCCAGTCTGACCATGGTGACCAGCCTTCCTCACTGTCATCAGCTGCAGAGCAAAAGGTACAAAAAAGTGCTTAGCATTGAAAGCCGCTCTATTATCCTATCCTGAAGATTTTCACTTCTCTTTTTCTGTAGAACATATGTTTTGTCCTTTAGATCTCTCTTTTTCTACTTTTGCTTTCCCAAGCTGACACTGAAGTCAGAGAATTATGGTTTCATGTAACGAGAGGTTAGTCCAGATAAGAATCCTAGATCTTCAGGTACTTCCTTGCGTGCAGTGTGTTTGCACGAGGCACTGACCTTTGGAGGAAGAAGAACACCTTATCTCTAGAATGGACTGAGCCAAAAGCTCAAGTCCCAACTGCCTTTGACTTCAGAACATAGGTCAGTATGATGAGATGTGGCCCCACCTCTGAACACAACATAATGGTGAACATGATCAAGAACATTGTTAGAACATGTCCTATGTCTGAATAGGAAAAAACCTTTTACAACGCATTTTTATTCAGAAAGTCTAAGCAACCACGTTCTTTTGTAACAGACCTGTCTACAGAGTGAAATATATTGAAACCACACTGATGTCACTTAATTAGAGAGATCATTAAATCTATTGCCTTTCTAAATTCTAGTTCACAGCCTGCAACGCTGTCTTAAACGAACCTTGCTAATCTGTTTCCTGTAAGTAACACAGTATACCAAAAGAGGATATATGATAGGAAAGAAAGAAAACAGACAACAAAATGACAATACCAGAGAGGAAGAATAACTTGCTCTTTTAATAAATATTGCATCAAACTACATGAAACTTTTGATCTGGAACTTAAACATACTCCACAAGCAGACAGGACAACATCCTAACCTATGTTAGACTGTTTTAACCAGGCAATACGGAAGAGAAACAATAGTGCACAGTGCTATTGCAAACCAACAAAAATCAGAATGCCCACCCTTGGAAAACACAACTGGGGAGGAGTATGCAACTACCTTTTAGTGTCCAACTTAGGTAGGGAATTTATCAGCTTACTTAGAAGCAACCAATATAATCATGCAACAGAGACCAATTCCTCCAGAAGGTACCTTCAAGCAGCCAAGTTACTTCATACGATCATTGTATACATATAAGTATTTTATTTGATCTCACCTGCTTCAATCTCTTGTTTTGACCTCTCCAATACACTAGTAGATATTTTAAATATTGCCAAAGAGTATCCTTCTCTTTGGCTAAATACTCACAGTGAGAGCAGACTGGACAGCATTCACCTTCAACAAAAGATGGATCGGCACAGGAGACTGCTGGGCAGGTGATTTGATGGCACACAATTTTAGAATCCTACAGGCAAAGAAATCAACTTACTGACATGCTCACATACAGAGGCAAATAAAGGTGGGCATCTGGGGAGAGTCTTATGTGTGCAAATTCTTTGATTTCTTCTAAATATCATGGACATGGGGACTACTTTTTATAAATATGAGTAAGTCTAGGCCAAGCTCTGAGTATGTGTGACCTGACCTGGAGTAAACCCACTATCCATTTTTGCAGAGAAAATGAATGTTTCCAAAACCTTACTTGGCAAGTGCACTTGGTGCAACTATCTACAATCCAGCTTTCATTATCTGCAAAGACACGGCCATCCTGCCAGCAAACTGAGTGGTTCTTCAGTGTTTTGTTAGGTCCAATCAATTCCCACATAATTTGGTTCTCTTCAGACTAGAAGACAAAGCAAATGAAAAAAAATGTGGACTTTGTAAGCAAACCGTTTTCAGTAAGACAAAACTTAGACACAACTGGATTTAATCCTTCCATTAAAAAAGTGTATTTTTTACATATTTATATGCATAAAGAAGATGATTTCAGGTACTGCAACACTGCACAGCAATTCTTCAGCTAGTAGTACAAACACGATCACAGAATATTAAGGGAAATCCGTTCTTAGGAGTTTTGCTTTCCTCCAATACAACTCATCTTTAGATGAGAAGATTGCAGCCCTGAGACATATGTCGCAGTAATAAACTTCCTTCAGAAAGGATTAACTTATTCAGAACAAGAAGTGGGGCAGACTTCAGTAACATGTCACCATCTTACTTCAACTATGAAAATCTCACACATTTACTTATAGTTTAGGTACCCTGTGTAGCCACTTGCTAATGGATTCATAAATGGTATAAGCTTGGCAATGTTTCAACAGTATACAGGCAAGGTCATGTTTGTTAGCTTTGATTTCCAAACCTGCAGTACCTTTAAGAGGACTGATTTCCTCTATGCGTGCGTGCATGCGTGTGTGTGTGCTTTTAAACCTAGTCTGCGAAAACCAAACCTTCATTAAAGTTTAATACTCAAAAACTACTCAACTAGTTACTTTGAAAATGTAGGTCATCTCTACATTATTTAGATATACCAACAGGTATACACATGTACAGGCAGAAATCTCTACTAACTTCCTCTGGTATAAAACAAAGAAGGAAAGAGCACTGTGCAGCAGACGTCTCTCCGTTCTTCAGACTTTCAGGTACCTACCACTTTTTGGAGGTTATCAGCTAAGTTGTTCACCACGATACGCAAGCCGGTGAGCTCCGTGAACATCGATCCCAGCTCTTCACAGGAGCGGTCGCAGAACTCAGCCTTCTTCTCTGGTTTCTCACCTACGTACTCAGTTGTGACAGCAGGGCTCAAGTGAAGGATTTCCGTGCTCTCATTGATGGTGTTCACTTCAGCTGGTAGCAATAGAAGGAAAAAGAAGAGCTGCATATACAAAGTTCTTCCACAGATTACAGATTCCTGCTAAAATCACAGATTGGCACCCATGGGTAGGGTTTAAACACATCTATTTTGGCACAGCTTCATGCTAGATTATACCCATGAATAAAAGAGAGGAGAAAGATGTCAGCTGGTTCCAATTATAGGCTTTCCATTTTCAAAATTGAGAGCCAAGCTGTGTCTCACATGACCCTCACTTTAAAACATTGTTGGCACTGCAACACATTAATTTTTGAAGAAGGCGTAACAAAAGGACAAAATATCAAAAAAGCAAATCCATTTTATCCCCTTAGAGCCATGAAAGGTTTCAGATTTTTTCATGATCTATTTCTCGATGCAGAGAAAAAGGCAGGAGAAAGAGTTTCCTTGCAGAAAGTCATTGTCCTTGTTCTGCCCATAAATCTCGTGGTTACTTGCATCAAATTTGGACCATTATGCAATTTACACAAGACTCTGAGCTGCATTATGTTGCACTGCCTAGTGTTAAACTCAGAGGCACTGTTATAATGAAAGTGTAATTCTGAAGTGAAATGGAGGTCAAGCCAAGATCAGGCTGAATATTTGATTTGTCACTCCAAACATTCCTCCATCAGGCAAATCATAATTAAAACAGAAATTTCTGTGCAATATACAGGGAGAACAGAACATGTACTAATACCAGTTGAAAAGATTTCCTTGTCTATAGCAAATTCTTGAAAAAGAATATAACAGAAAGTATCAGTAGTAATTCATTAATTAAAAAAGAACAGAGATAACTAAATAAAAGACTGCATTCTGTTAAATATTTAAATTTCCACCAGTTAAATATCTTATGGATTCCATGAAAGCTTTCTCTAACAACTCCATGGTACACTCGATTTTGGTATCAGCTGTAGAGAAATCCACATTTCCCTGTCTCTCAAAAAATATTTGTTTTCCAGATTTAGTAATGTTGTAATAACTCAAGGTTACCAAACAGAAAGGAGAAGCAAAGGATATAGCAATTTAAAAAGAAGAAATCAGCACAGGAACGTGTGCCATAAAATATATGCTTCAAAACACCCAATATCATTCTGTGTTGACAGTCACAGAAGGTGGCAACACGTCAAAAATTTTGAGGGTTTTATTTGATGCTTGACTATACAATATAAAGCACTATATTTAAATGCACAAGCAATGAAAATGGGAGCAAAGTATTCTTCATTCATTTAGAAGGCTAAAAATAAAAGAACGAAGAACCAACCCATAAGATGACATTAAATAGTTACTTCTCAATAGTTACTTAAAATGATTGGCTTGATGTGCTTTTAAATTACCTATGAAGTATCTGCCGCTAGTCAAGGACTAGAAAAAATTGTTTGCAGTATTCCAGAGTTGAAGTAATTGTCCAGCTTCACTTATAGGATGGGAGAACATCGATATACAACATAGCAGATCAGAACTCTCTGTGTCATAACTGTTTACTTCAGCTGCTTTTTGATTGCCTGGAAAGAATGTAATTTTCCTACCGCATGGAAACACTAGGATTCTCAGATTCCCCTACAGCACTTCTCAGGTCATTAATTTCATATTTTTCAAGCCAACATGGAGTGTGCCTTGACCGGAA